GCGATAGCAGTGGCGTTCGAGCTGAAGATCCGAAGCTGTTTGGATTTTGCTGAAGAGAACTTAGTACCGTGTCTTCGCTTTGTGTGTGTGTTTTTTTCGTGTGGTGATAGCAAGTGCCGGAATGACCTTTGAGAATTGTGTAAGTGTGTTTTTGTGTGGCGTGCGAATATAACGCGAATTTGAGGATGTTCAGTTTTTTTTTATTATTGTGCGGTTTTTTAATACAACGTGTTTATCTTGTGACATTTGTATAATTTATTAGAGATCGACATTATTTTTACAGTTATATTGGTGTCCAAAACGTTGAATATAATTAGATTATATTGAAAACAAAAAATATTAATGATTTAAGTAGTAATTATTATATCATGGATAATACAATTGACGATAGAAATAAAAAGAATATCCAGCAGTGGTAATTATAATACCATGCTGTTACTGATACAGCTTCAGTTTCTTTACTACTGTTATTTATGCTATTACCATCACTGTTGTTATCTTTAGTGCCACCAGCATCAGTAGCGTTGTTAGTATTGTATTTATACCAAATGCCATTGAACCTATATGTGAATTTTGCTTAATTTTAATTACGGTGTAGCATCAAGATTTGGTATCTCCAAAGCCCCACCTATATAAAGTATATGTAATTGTATTCAGCGATTTTTTCTCTATTGAAAACACATGGTTTAGTTCAAAAATTAGGATCAGCAGAATGTCTTTATTCCGAGAACGTTCCACATGGATACTTTTCCGCTGCTTTGTCCGATGCAGTCTCACACCATTGATCACGGTAACAGCTGATGACGCTTTCCAGTCTTGTTGACATTCGTGCTGTTGGGGTTCGCATGCACGCCACACTGAGTCCACGAAGACCTTCTCCCCTCCTTTGCCACATCTAAGTCCACTTCTTCCCTCGCTCCGCAGGTTGAACCACCTCATTCCTTTGCTCCATGGACTCTTCCACTTCATTCCACTCTCTTCCTCACTCCACAGATTGGTCCACCTTTCCTCTCTCCACAGATTAAGTCACCTTTCCTCACTTCACAGATTGATCCACCTGTCCTCCTTCCCCAGGTTGATCCACCTTTCCGATATGATATAGCTATCAGCAAACTCGTATGTCTCAGTGATATAGCTTCAATAAGTATTACCATTTGGTGTCTTGAATGCTCGGTCACAGGCTGGTACTTTACCCGATTTCAGGGTATGACGCCCTTTTCAAAGCGCCGGGTTGTGCGTTGACTGTTAGCCTCGTGGAATTGATTATGTAAGTGTAGAACAACTTTCAATCGATAGGGGTGTAAGAAGGCGTAGATATGCTCAGGCACTATACTCCACCTTCTGTAAGCTTTGGATCTTTTGGTCTTTTGCCATCACTAGTGCAAATGAAAGATATATAGGTGAAAGAAAATGCGTATACACTGGGAACTGCAAAGTCATATATAAATGATAACTACTATTTTGTAACATTAAGTCATACAGACAGTTTCTTGAACCATTCCAAATATTTGGCAATTTAATAATAAACCTTAGCGGGTTCCAACATACGGTTCCACGACCGCCATAAGGCCCGCAAGCTACGGACTGAGGGCCGCTGTACTACAGCGAGGCCACACTATTCTGGTAATTAGAAAGGTGTGGAATATACTACATGAAAATAACACGAGGCCAGTGTTAGTTAAGTCCTCCAGTTTGGTCAACTCCCGTTAGAGCCATGGGCCTAAAGAACCAACTCCGGCGAACCAGTGACCAGACCAGAGTTGGGTGAGCCCGTGGTTCGGTTCAGTGATTTTGACGAAGGTCCCCCGGTGCAAGGTAGCCCAGGTCCTTCCTATCCCCGACCTGCTCTATGCAGACTATCCTTCCTAGAGGAGCCTACCACTGGAAATGGCCTGCTTCAGGGCAAACGACCGTCGCCCTTGCCATTTTTTAAGCTGCCTTTCTCACGACTTACCCTCGGATTATTTTCTCTTCTCTCGGCGCCATCTTCCCAAGCCTGGGCCATAAAACCGGGAATGTGACTACGACCTCGACCGGTGACTCTCTGCTGCGTCTGTTTTTTATCGATGTTGGATTTATTTACATTTTTTCTGGAAAAGAAATTACGTGCGTACTCCTTTTTCGTCGGGGGATCCATTCATAGAGCTGTTGCCTGTACTTGCGGTTATTCTTAGTGAGGGGATTGTCACATTTGTCTTTGTGTTGTTGGTATTAATGTGATTATTAGTCTTTATTATCATTATTTTTATCATTGCTATCATTACCACCGGTACTATTGTTATTAATCATCATTAATGCTTTTCTTGTTATTATTTCTAAAACTATTGCTACTACTGATACTACTACTATTATCACTACTACAACTAAAGCATTATATTTTACTACTAACACTATATAATCATAATAACAGTTGTAGTAATAGTAGTGTTAGTAACACAACAACAATAATAGTAATGATAATGATGTTGACGATTATGATATTAATAAAGATAATAATAAT